AAGATTCAGCCAACGAACAAACAGAAATTGGTAGTGGATGGATATGTGGCACTTGTGAATAGTATATCAAAAAGATAGCATTCCACCACTATCTATCAATAATCACAGAACTACTCTAAGGGGTGAATCTATGTGCATGGCCCTTATAGAAAATTATGTCTGGGGCGTTATGTGTACATCTATCGAAAGAAAATTAATTTCCCGATTATTATCTCGTTAAAATTGTAAATGAGGTGCGTTAATTAACAAGGGTGAGAAACTGTCTGAGAGGTGAATTAACTAACGCTAGTGGTGAAAAAATGCGCAATGGTGCGTTTTCTGTAGAGGTGTGTTAATTAATCGACCGGTAAAAAATGAATGTCAATGGTAGTCCAGGCAAGATAGCATAAGTGTGGGCAGTTGCTGCAATAGAAATGCTGACCACGGTTTATGGTCGGTCTAGATGTATATTATCACCATAAAAAGTCCCAGTTCGAAATCCGTGCCCAAATGGGTCAAATTGGCCAGTATCAAGGTCTAGATGGTCTGTGGTGCTAAAATTCAGTTTGCGGATCGTTGTCTTTTACATGGTCTGCAGGAAAGACAAGCATACAGTTCATTACAGTAGATATAATCGGTGACTGCTGTTACAACAGTAAACAGTAGAACCTTCGCAGCACCTATTTTTTGGACAAGCCAAGACAGGACAAATGAAAACTGGATATAAATCTAGTTGTATTTAACAAATCAACATTGAGGCTGGTGTCCCTCATTAGATGACACTCATTAATTACTTGCACATCTAGCATTGAAATTTTTCAACACTCCGTGTAACTTATGCAAAAAATCTCACTGCAGAGGCTTGCTGGACAGGTAGTCAATCGTCTACCTTGTCCTTACAAATGCAAAAACAAAAGAAACTGGAAATGGTTGATAACGCTCGAATCCGATTTGCTTCAAGGGTATAGGTGAGGGATCGGAGTGGCTATGAGCCCTCTCTTCCAAAAATATGCCCTCGAATTTCAGCAGAGTTACCTTAAATACTCAAGGAAATGCTTACGTTAATGAAAACATTGTGCCCCCTTTTTCTGCTGCCCTTCAGTTGTTCCAACCAAATCCAGATATACTACAAACCAAACGCACTCAAAGTACGTACAGAATGTATATTGTCGGCGCCCCTTCTGGTGTCCACAATTGCTTGTGGACACTCTAGAGGCTAAAGTTAATATCCAATTGACTTTAAATTTATACACAGTGTTTAAGGTCACGAGACGAAGAAGACTAGTGATTTTCAGCGATTTCCGATAATTACTGCCAGAGTTATGGCCCTTGATCACTTCAAAAAAATCTTGTGGATGCTCTAGAGGCCAAAGTTAATATCTGATTGACGTTAAATTTATACACATTGTTTAAGGTCATGAGACAAAGAAGCCTATTGATTTTCAGCATTTTCTGTTGATTACTGCTAGAGTTACGGCCCTTTATTACTTCAAAATATCTCATCGAATAAAATGAGGTGGACATGTCGAGGAAGCGAGCTAATCTCCTTCAGTTTAAACAGTGTTATATTTCAGATGATCTATCAAAACTTCCTGAGTAAATTGAGTATGTACTAAATTAACTTTTAAGAGTGTATCCGCGAGAAGACCATGCAAAAATCGCAAAAAGTGCTAAGATGGGGGGTCGGAAGTTTTTGATCAAACTTATGGTATGACACCCCCTAGGGGCAAGAGGTAACATGCTGAAGTGGTTACAGTCTGATGTCGCTCTAAAGGATTGTACAGGAATTATTCATTTTATGGGTAAAATTGCGGTTTTCACGTGTGTATTTATCACCCTTTTTAAGCACAGACTGCATTCTATGGTGGAATAGCAACCTTCTAATTTTGACTCTGTCTGATAAAGCGGGTGGTCAACTTCTACCCCAGCACTAATTTGAAAAAAAAAATCAGTACATACTAATTTTGTGTGGACTTGTTTTAGGGTACCATATTCACATTGTCCTTATAGTGCAGAAAAAGATACACTGTAACTTTTTCTTTCATGGTCGCAAGTAGAATTTCTTTGGATGGTTTTGAAGTGCTAAGCACATAGTATCCATAGGTGTGGACACTCTAGAGGCTAAAGTTAATATCTGATTGACTTTAAATTTATACACAGTGTTTAAGGTCTTGAGACAAAGAAGCCTATTGATTTTCAGCGATTTCCGATAATTACTGCCAGAGTTATGGCCCTTGATCACTTCAAAAAATCTTGTGGATGCTCTAAAGGCCAAAGTTAATATCCGATTGACCTTAAATTTATACACAATGTTTAAGGTCATGAGACGAAGAAACCTATTGATTTTCAATGATTTCCGATAATTAGTGCCAGAGTTATGGTCCTTGATCACTTCAAAAAATCTTCTGGATGCTCTAGAGGCTAAAGTTGACATCCGATTGACATTAAATTTATACACAGTGTTTAAGGTCATAAGATGATGAAGCCTATTGGTTTTCAGCGATTTCTGATAATTACTGCCAGACTTATGGCCCTTGATCACTTCAAAAAGTCTTGTGGATGCTCTAGAAGCAAAAGTTAATATTCGATTGACTTTAAATTTATGCACAGTGTTTAAGGTCATGAGACGAAGAAGCCTATTGATTTTCAGCGATTTCCGATAATTACTGCCAGAGTTATGGCCCTTGATCACTTCAAAAAATCTTGTGGATGCTCTAGAGGCTAAAGTTAATATCTGATTGAGTTTAAAATTTATACACAGTGTTTAAGGTCATGAGACGAAGAAGCCTATTGATTTTCAGCGATTTCCAATATTAGCTGCCAGAGTTATGGCCCTTGATCACTTTGCAAAATCTTGTGATGCTCTAAACCAAACAAATTCTAATAGTTTTCTGATAATTACTTCGTGAGTTGTTGCTCTTAATCAGATTTTAGTGTATTATAAATGTTTCATTACCCTTGTTGACTGCCTGGACGATTTAGTTGCTGTGGGTGTATGTTTCGTTGCCTGGCAACCTATCTTTTGCAAATTTAATTAGAGAAATAAAATTTTTGACTTTTATACGTTTTCATCATATCCATAGCCATTATTTGTACCATTTGTACCGAAAATGGCTACAAAATGTTTAATTTCAGAGCATGTTTCCACTATTCATTTTGGGACACATCCACTAATTTTTACAATACAGAAATGTGGAAGCTTAAATATTAACGGCAACGAAGCCTAATTGCGTCGAAGTGGGTGACATTGAACAGTGTAGTATGGTAGCTACAGCTCTCGGGCACCGTCAGGGCCGGTGTGATGGTTTGAGTTGACTCTTGGTGTGTGTTTTCTCCTGGGCACTTGCGCATGTCCGAAATTGATGTTTGCCTTAACAACGAAACTATATCTACTTCCTGCAGTGTGTGTTGGTTCCTGACCACTAGTCAGTACAGGAAAAAATATATCATGTACTTGATTAGAGTTTTGTCATTAATAAAATACTTGTTGACGTGATTAGCTGTTGTTTTAGTGATCAGTAGTTACATGATCAACGGATCTAAGTTGATTGGCTTGAAATTGATACTTCGTTCGTGATTTGTTGCCGTTGTTTTTTTTTTAGTGATTAGTCGTTCTAGACACGTACGATCAGTGGAAACCATACAAATTGATGATTGGCTTGAAATTATCAATTAACTCACCTCCAAAGGAAGATTAAGGCCTTTGATATTTCGTGGCTTCATTTAACACAAATATAAAAGTATGGAATTTCTTATTCCGATTTCTTTAACATAAATATAGATTTATTACACCATCCCATACGTACATTCAAACATGCATGTAGACAGCCCAAATACAAGAGAGAATGTTCGCATTGTGGACGGGTATATATAATAATAATAAAGATCGTCAATTTGCATCCTCTCTTAGTGGTAATATTGTAAATATATAATAGTCTATAATATATTGATTTGACCGTAAGAACATTTTAGGGGAAATCCTATCACGAGGAGTCAATGCACACCGCGTCTGTAACGGTGTGAGGTGACTCCTACAACTGTGCATGCGCCAAACGGTAATCACACACCAGGGACCATCTGAAACTGCCACACCGGATTTAGAATAAGAGAGGCCCTTCGCAAACCCCCTGAACAGGGCCCACGACAGGGACCTTGGGGCCCTGGGACAAGCAACTCGGTGAGAGGGTGGGTCGGGGGAAGTCATACGGTTGGTGGTTAGAATTATTTAAAATAATGTCTATTTGAGAGTAATGGATATGTTTGTTAAGATTGAGCACGTCGAAACTCCAATGGAAGGTCGTGGACAACTGCGGAAGCCAATTCCCATCGACGCCAGATGAGCCATGAACGATTACAGGCCTTTCATGGCTCGAAATGTTTGCCTGTCTACTTGTCGTCGACAGGCGATTTTTTCGTCTGACAGGTAGCAAAAAAAACTAAGACAGGTGGACAGAATTTTACTTGATGTTCAGTAAATTGACCACAATACTCACGTCCACGTCACGTACATTTAATTATTTGTTTCTTAATGCAAGAATTAAGCACGGAAATACCGTGAAAAGCCGCCATTTGCACTGTTTACATTTCGCTCTGTCGTAGGCTACAGTTACTCACACAGTTTGGAAGTAGACAATTTTATATCAATGAATTTCACACCATCTACGCTTGTTTTCATCTGCTTGACACTAGTTTATAGCATTATGGAGTGTTATATCTAAATAAATTAAAACGCACCCCCAAGTCACCTGAAATAATTCTACCGTAACGACACCACAGTAAAGATATAGTAGTGGTTGGAATGGAAATGCTCACGGCTCGTTGCTTGGTGTATTTAATCATTTAAAAAGTTTAAAACAATTTCCATAAATAAAGGCTATGAATAAATTATAAGACAATTTGACAAAATCAAAAAATCAGGTCGGAAAAATATTTCATATAAATATAATTTGAGGCGTAAATATAGTCCGGATATGTGAAAAGGGAATTCCAGGTGGCGTTATCTGTCCTTCGCACGCGGTACATGTAAATACGGTGCCATGCACAGGTGTGATTTGTGTTTTGATATTCAATTTATTACGTATATTTTAAAATCTGAATTCTACAACTCAACGGTGAAGTATTCGATTTAGTACGGAAGTGTGGTACCATGATACTTTGCGGAATTCACGTGGATACGGATGATAGAATTGTACGAATCTTCGAGTCGCTGAGCCAAAGCAGATTCGCCGACTTTCGAGAACTTTTAGGCATTCCGATGTCGAAGAAATAAAAAGGTTTCATATTACGATATTTATATAGAGCAATGTAGCCTACGTCAAAGACCTAACCACGTACGTGTGTGTGTACCTACATGTATGGATATGTGTAATGTGATTAGTCTTTGAGTTTGATAATTGAGAGTGACAGGTTATTTACTGAAGCGACAGGTATGAAGAAAAGCTACCTGTCGCTGCGACAGGTAGCTCTTTTTAAACAATTCGAGGCCTGCCTTTGAAAGTATTTTTTTTCAAGATATTTTTATAAAACAGATACTAATGTATTTTAGGGCTGGTAGTAAACACCATATGAATGAAAAGGAAAATAAATTGTTAGGTTTTTTTTTTATCTACTACGGTTAATTATCTCCAAAATAGGGAAATTACAGATTAATTTCATGGGTTATTGGTTCCTTTACCTAGTTTTTGTCAAGTCGATTCCGGTCATTTTTATTTTTTGTATCAAATGTTGGGAGGTTACTTGTTCACGTGAGCATAAATTTTTTAAATCCACCCCATGAAAGAAGTAGCTATAGGGCGTCAAACTTTGGGTGACGAAAAATGGGGAATTTAGACAGGCTTTGAGATCCAGTCCATATACAGATCTCGTTCGCCAGAATCATCTGAAGTTAATATTGTGGTAACAACACTGAGTCATCTACAAACTGTGTGAGTTTGGTCTTTCTGCTACGTATAGTAAAGGTGTAAGGACTTGCCAAAGTTGGTATTTGAGAAAAGACAGATTTTGGCAATTTCACCATATGAAAAATGTTTTTTCAATTTTCTCATACAGGAATTGAAAGATTTATCTAACAATTTATTTAACAATTAACCAAATAGGTCGTACACATAGAGTTGAATCTCGTAAAAAAGATTACCACAGAGATATAATTGTTAGATTTATCAGCTACAGGGATCGTGCTGCAGTATATGGCAATAAAAAGAGGCTAAAACAATTCAACATAACAAATAAAATAAAAATCTTTATTAATGAAGCCTTGACACATAGAAAATCACAGCTGTATAAAAAGACATGCAAACTCTTCAAACTGAATAAAATAAAAAAACTGCTGGACATATGATGGCCGAATATTTGTAAGAAATCTAGATGATGACAAAAACATATTAATTAATTGTGAAGATGACATAAATCAGTTTTATGACACGCCAAATGTTGAACAGCAAATGAACACCTGACATTGTTAAACCAACTAACCGCGAAACCAACTACATCTGTATCCACAGCTCAACCGGTTAATTTACCTGATTCAATTCAGTCAAGCCCTTGTTACGACAACAGTCCTTGTTAGAGCAAGGTTTATTTACTTCTACACCCAACCCCAAACCGAATGAAAATGATAAATAAGGTCGATTATAATATAAATGAACATATATGTAAATACTTAAAACCAACACGTTATGTGCGCTATGTTATTCCAAAATGTATATTAAATCAAATATGCTGGTTGTTTACTGTTTATATTTTACGCAGAAACTTTTGTAGTTCTAACTTGATTATTACCAATAAAAAATATCATTCGATTTGCCAAAATGACATGGAAATTTACAAAGCTATGAACGAACTGATATGAAATAATGCTATATCCTGATGGAAGTTCTCTAGCTTAAATTATTAATTTAACCAACGTTATTCTTTTCTACTAATACAAAGATGATATTGTAGTTATTAATTCAATCTATTACAGTAGAACTTGCTCAGGCGTGCACTCCTAATCAGCGAACACTTGCTTCAACGAGCACCAAAAAATCCCCCCAAGCGATTTTTAAGTAATTTAACCCCTACTAAACACGCAGCTGTTCAACGTGTGCAACAGGCATCATGATTAATTCCCCCCGTAGAAATTCTACTGTTTCAATGGTCACGCCTCTAACGCGGCCAGCGGTCACTATTTTACTAATAAATTAAACAAAACATCGCCCATCCAACGGTCATTGTTGAATGATACCATCTTGTCGTTCTTTCTTTGTAACACTCCCGCTAATCCCGTGAGTAGTAGTTAATTAACTGGACCCCTACTGATCAGGTAAAAAGAAACGTAAAAATAACAATCAAACCGGGATTATCTGTTTATTAATCTTTTGTTTTATTAAACGACTAACCTGATCATTATTTTCACGCGTAACGACACATTATTTGATACTAATCGAATAAAATGAAAGTACCGAGTTTTGTCACGATCATCTAGTATCTCTTTTCTATTGCCACTTTGTTGTTAAACAGACGTTTTAGCGCCCCCTATAATATTACATACAGAGTTACACCCCCTGTAAATCGGTGATAAAATCAGCGATGGTTTTTTGTTCATGTGCTTTTTTGATAAAATAAAATTAATTCATCGACTTTCTTCACAAAAATGAATAAATATTATCGAATGCATCACAATGGTAGAAAGTAGTATCGAAGGTTGGTACAAAATGACAAGTTTACAGAAGTTATGTTCGAGATATGAGTAAATAATTTTCGTTCGGCGCAAGATTCAGCGACGGTCAAATTTATCAATGCAAGTATTGATGTTCGCTCCCAATGTGTCCCTATTACTGTAGACTTAAGTTCCATCGGAGAGCAAAAAAGATTACTTAAATTACTACATGTATCTAGCTCTATATATAATTGCATATATGATTATAAAACCCCATGCCCACTAATACTGGTTTTTATACGCCCACATGGAAATGGGATCGTATATTGCCGTTGCCCCCGTCCGGCCGTTGTCCACAATTTCTTGTGAACACTCTACAGACTACATTTATTATCTGATTGTTTTGAAATTGATATATGTTGTTTGCATTAGTGAGATGAAGAAGCCTATTTAATTTCAATAACTTCCGTTAATTTCTTCTGAAGTTATGGCCCTTGTTTCACTTTGTTGCACCTTGTGAACGCTCTAACGACAAAAGTTATCAACCGATCTGTATGAAATTTATATGCATCATTTGACTTAGTAAAACAAAGAAGCTTATTGAATTTCAGCAATTTCCGTTATTTACATCTAGAGTTATGGCCCTTGTTTCACTTTGTTGAATCTTGTGACACTCTAATGATAAGTTATCATCCGATCTGTTTGAAATTGATATGCATCATTTGAATTAGTAAAACAAAGAAGCCCATTGAATTTCAGCAATTTCCGTTAATTATATTTAGAGTTATGGCTCTTGTTTCACTTTGTTGAATCTTGTGAACGCTCTAGTGACAACAGTTATTATCCGATCTGTATGAAATTTATATGCATCATTTAAATTAGTAAAACAAAGAAGCCTATTGAATTTCAGCAATTTCCATTAATTACATCTAGAGTTATGGCCCTTGTTTCACTTTGTTGAATCTTGTGAACGCTCTAATAACAACAGTTATCATCCGATCTGTTTGAAATTGATATGAATCATTTAGATTAGTGCAACGAAGATGCCTATTGAATTTCAGCAATTTCCGTGAGTTATGGCCCTTGTTTCAATTTATTGTACCTTGTGAATAACGACAAAAGTTATTATCCGATCTGTATAAAATTTATATGTATCATTTGAATTAGTAAAACGAACAAGCCTATTGAATTTCAGCAATTCCCATTAATTACGCCGTGAGTTATGGCCCTTGTTTCTCTTTGTTGAATCTTGTGAACGCTTGAACTACAAAAGTTATCACCCAATCTGTATGAAATTCATATGCATCATTTAAATTAGTAAAATGAAGAAGCCTGTTGAATGTCAGCAATTTCCGTCAATTACTTCTAGAGTTATGGTCCTTGTTTTACTTTGTTGAACCTTGTGAACGTTCGAACGACAAAAGTTATCATCCGATCTGTATGAAATTTATATGCATTACTTGAAAAACGAAAACAAAAAAACCTGTCGAATTTCAACAATTTCTGTAGATTACTTCCAGAGTTACGGCCCCTGTTTTAGTTTTTAAAACCTTGTGAACCCTCAAACGACAAAAATTGTAATGTCATCGGTATGAAATTGTCTATTAAATGCCCCTAATTACCGTTAATTACATCTAGAGTTATGGCCCTTGTTTCACTTTGTTGAATCTTGTGAACGCTCTAATAACAACAGTTATGATCCGATCTGTTTGAAATTGATGCATCATTTAAATTAGTGCAACGAAGATGCCTATTGAATTTCAGCAATTTCTGTGAGTTATGGCCCTTGTTTCAATTTGTTGTACCTTGTGAATGCTCTAACGACAAAAGTTATTATCCGATCTGTATGAAATTTATATGTATCGTTTAAATTAGTAAAATTAACAATCCTATTGAGTTTCAGCAAATTTCCTTTAATTATATCTAGGGGGTTAACCTAGCTGAAAAGTGTACCAATTTTTTCCTATACATGTATGTTATATCTGGTATCATCAGAATGTAAGTCTGCCGGGTTTCTGGTGGTGGGTGTGGTATTCCACGCCAAAATGCCATGCCCCCCAACTAGTCTAGATTAGCTCAAAAGTGTACCAAATGAAAATTGCACAGCAGTGTACCGTACATCTTCAGGTATTACATTAACACTCTGACAGACATTTCTAGTGGTGGGGTACCCCTGACAGCTATGTAATTGTCAGACATTTGTAGTGGTAGAGTATCCCTGACAAGAGTTATCTAATTTCCAGGGCCCTTATTCACTTTAACTAAATTACAACCAAAATTTTAAGAAATACTGCAACTTCATTGGATATATGCAAATTGATTTTACTGGTCAGCCAATCGAATTGCAGTATTTTTTAAAATTTCGATTGTATCTTAGTTTAAGTTTTCGTGAATAAGGGCCCTGACCACAGCTAGGCTAGATTAGCTGAAATCTGTACCACCTAAAACAGCTAAGAGTTGTTCATTACCACCATACGAATCATGAATGACCACTGGCAGACAGTTTGTGCGGTGGGTTACCCCTAACAGACACGCCCCCTTTTGATTGATAAGTTTTCGCTATTACAGATTATCCCAAACCTGTCCATTATTTGTGTATTGTTATATTTGTATTTATAAATCCATATCATATTTAATTTCATGCATATATGGCCTCACTATCTGTGTCTCATCAGCTTTACTCTGTTTATTCATGGCACCCTTTGAAGGGCCTCATTCTAGTTAATAACCCTTTACTCATGTATTAGAGTTTATTCAGCCAGATAATTACCTTGTTGTGCTTGATGTTTTTGTTAGATATCCTTTACCTCTTATATTATTTTTGTTACTGTTATTTTAATCCATGTTGATGGTTTCACTATGAATTTTGTATATATTGACCTCAAGTTTACTAAATGTCATTGTCTACGATATCACCTTAGGTGGAAGTGGACGTAAAACACCAGAAACGAACGAATGACTAAATGTCATTGTGCTTGATAACGATAAGAAGAGGATATTTGTCGAAACGTTGTGCTTTTAGAATAAAACTAGTGATTGTATCCCATAAAAACTATTTTCTGTTAACGTTTACTATTTGATACAAGAAAAACAACGAAGTATTACTAAATATACACAAATTTTCAAATGTTCCAGCCGGGTATACCGGATATACCAATGCACGCCGATGAAACGAAATAAGAGAACTAGCAAGTGTTAATTGCAGTCTCAACAATCGTTGATCAATTAAATAAAACAAAAGACAACTATCAGTCTCACATAAAACGAAAAACACAAACAGCTGTTACTATATATCACATATATGTGGGTATCAATAAACCTAACCCTAACCCTAATAATAGATATCGGTGGACTGATGAACCCTAACCCTATCCTAACCCTAATGATAAATATTGGTGGACTAATGAACCCTAACCCAACCCTAATAATAGACAATAGAGTTTTATCGTAAATAAAATTAATAGAATCCTCTGTAACATACTGGTAATACGTGATGTAATTTGTAGGAGGTGTGTGTGTGGGGGGGGGGGGGGGTAGGTGCTATTCATCGTAGCCCGTTCGTAATTTAGCCATGACAACACCACCTATTTTGTGTGAAAATCCAGATTGGTCGCGTTCCAATTGTAATTGTTCTTTAATAATGAGGTCAACTGATTATTTACTGACAATTCAGAATAAAAGTATTGTCTACAAGACTACGACATGGTAACAATTTGTTGTTAAAGGGGCTTCTATTATAGTCAATTATCAATTCCTTTTGACGGCACGTGTGAATTCACGTAATATAGAAACTTGATTGACGTTATGCATTGAAATGAAAGGGTCATCACGGTATTATCCGACTGATACGTGTTAATGTACATGTGTTCAGCAAGGTTGATGGTGACTTCTGGCAATGTGTGCTTGAAAACAGGAGATGAGCATTTAATTCATTTGTGATTTAAATTCCAAGATATATTACTTCAGGTGTTATTTATTGATTTACAATGCATTGTGTAACTTATTTGTCAGAATGGGAATAGCTATTTTAATGGACAAAACTTTCGCCCACGGTAAGACCAGCATCTAATCTTTGAAATTTTCGTAATTTGAATGAGTTTGAAAGTCTTAGAAATGTCGAACATACTGACTAAGTGATGTATCGGTACAGCCATAACTCCATTTATTTTATTATTTAAAAGCCTGCCAATGTTTGATAATTGATATTTTTCAATATAAGTCAGTAAAATCTGCGTGTCTAACCGTGTTAAATTAACAATCTTTTTTGCATGCCGTGTTAGCTGATATTTGACTACGATATACGGATGTGCTGACTGTACATGCGTGGAAAGTCCGACTTATTAAAATTTGTGGTGGATCTATCAACCTAATTTCTGCGGCGGTTTAAAATAATCGCGGAGGTCCTCGGTTTACTCATATTTGCGGAGGAAATTTAGAGTGGAATTTTGAGCGTGGCCAGAGCGGTTTAGTACTTCCGCCTGACTTGTACACCATTATCTGGGATGTGATTTACTAATTTCCAAATGTATAATTACCTGGGACGTGATTTACCGATTTTTATACGGTATATCAAGGTTGTGGACCCTATAGAGGTCACAATTTTTAACCCGATTTTGTTGAAACTTGAAATGTAAGTTTATAACACAAAGATCTCGGTTCCTTTCGATATTTGCGCATATCGGACCGTGACTTCATGAAGTATGGCCCCTTATTGTATGACAAATCGCGTTTTTAGCTTGTGGACCCTATAGAGGTCATAATTTTTATCCGATTTAAAAAAACGTTTTATTATATCACCGTTAAACCCTAAGGATGGTTAAATTCGAATTTTGTGAAAATCGGCCTAAAACTGACAGACAAAATGGCCGCCGTTCGTTCTCAAATAGCGTAAAAATATGGTATATCAAGGTTGTGGACCCTATAGAGGTCACAATTTTTATCCGATTTTGTTGAAACTTGAAATGTAAGTTTATAACACAAAGATCTCGGTTCCTTTCGATATTCGCGCATATCGGACCGTAACTTCCTGAATTATGACATTTGATTGTACGAAAAATCGCGTTTTTAGCTTGTGGACCCTATAGAGGTCATAATTTTTATCCGATTTAAAAAAACGTATTATTATATCATTGTTTATTTATTATTAATTTTTATTTATTTTTTTTTATTAAAAACGAAAATCAGTGGTGACAACTTGAAATGACCAAGTGACAAGTAAAAAATATTTCTACTTGTCACCTGAGACAAGTAAAATTTTACAAACATTTCAACCCCTGGTCCTGAGCAACAATTGTAGCAGAATTCCCCACACTACCAAGTGCCACAACAACTGCTGGTTTTAGCACTTTCTATGTCCATCTCTTGCAAAATGTTGGCGTGTCTTGCAATGGCGACTGCTTGTTATCATTAAATTAGTTGAGAACCCACTAATTTTGTTTGTGTGGCCTAATACTAGTAGCATGTTTTTTTATCAACTTTATTTTTAACAAATATGCAATAGGCCAGTACACATTTGAGCATGTCAAACTGATTGATTTTTATACGCCCACATTGTCGTCGCTCCCGTCCGTCCGGCATCCACAATTGCTTGTGGACACTCTACAGTGTTTAAGGCCATGAGACGAAGAAGCCTATTGATTTTCAGCGATTTCCGATAATTACTGCCAGAGTTATGGCCCTTGATCACTTTGAAAAATCTTGTGACGCTCTAGAGGCTAAAGTTATCATCCGATTGACTTCAGATTGATGCACAGAGTTTAAAATCTAGATACGAACAAGTAAATTTTTATGACTTGAACAGCTAAATCCATGATATTTAAAGTTTTGTATACTAAACGTTAGCATGGGGTAGAACTTTATAAAAACCAAACAAATTCTAATGGTTTTCTGATAATTACTTCATGAGTTGTTACTCTTATACAGATTTTAGTGTATTATAAATGTTTCATTACCGAAAAAAGTAAAAATATGCGACAACACTTGTTGACTGCCCGGACGATTTAACTGCTGTGGGCATGTTTCGTTGCCTGGCAATTAAGGGTGTGACGATTAGTCGGAGTCGGTTCGGTTTTACCTACAAACCGGTTCAAGTTTCGGGAAATCGATAGTCGTCTAAAAAATACAGCATGATATAAAGCAGTCGCCCGAATATTATAACATGTTTTTTTTTTAAAAAGATACATGTATTAACGATCGACAATTATGGGGGTGAATAAGCAATAAGCTACATCATTGATAAATGGTCGACAATAATAATAACGAGACAGTATATACTAAACTATATTCCGTAATCGGTCGTGGATATTCTCGCGATTATAAGCGATTGTGTTTTTGCATACCTAATGAAGTTATTTTAAGAATGCGTTATTTGATTGGTCGGTCGCTAAGGTCAATGGTTGAAGTGCCCAATCAGAAACAAGCAATCCTCCAGGTTAGGTCAATAGGCATGCGCACTGAGCTGATGCCCAGATACGCTTTCTCGTCGGTTTATCACTAATATTATTGATCAATACGTCATTGTTTGAAGTTTTTTATATGTTGTATTTATTACTTTTATTAAAAAGGTTAAACAGGAGATTTGAACAAACTACATAGTACAAACAAAACCAAATTTTTTAATGTAATGGACACATAAAACATAGAACTGTATGTATGTCGCCATTACAGTTTTAAGCTCCGTATATAAAGGCCAGTATGTAGACTATGGAAGACTAATATTTTTCAGTTAGTTTTAATTACCGACTAAACCGAATCGGTTCGGTTTTTTAGCCGCCGACTAACCGGTTCAAGTTTTGCTTAGTCGTCACACCCTTACTGGCAATCTATCTTTAATAAATTAAAATGGTAAATGTGATTTTAGATTTGTACAACTGAAGAAGGAATATGATTTGAAGAAACAAGAAGCTAATCAAATCAATGCTAAATTGGAACAAACTAAACATCATGAACAATTAACAGTTATCAAAAATCTTCTAACTGCAATAGGTAGGTAGAAAATATTATTTATAATCTTTTAAAACAATTTATCGACCCACATTTTAGAGAGATGAAACCCCACAAAATTTGTTTTCCTGCACCTTCATTTTAAATTTTGGTATCGGCTGTCTAGTTTATAAGCCTTTTGATTCTCGGATTGGTACTAGTAATAAACAGGACCATTTAGATTTGAAATGAGTTCGTTTATTTGATTGTCATTTATTTATGATAAAAGTGTATTTATAGAACGGGCTGGTAGCGTACGATGACATAAATAACATTATTAATACTATTAATAGACCGGCAGCCAAACCCCATTTTAAACCTTGACAAGGAAATATAGTCCACCTAACGTTTTTTGATGGATTATATATCTTCAATATGTGTAGATTCAGAATCTGGATGATGGCACCCTTGGGGAAATTTAAATATTCAAGATGGTCGCCATGAGGCATTTCTATACGCCCAAATTGAAATGTGGTCATATATTGTAATCGCCTTCCGTCCATCAGTTTGGCGTCCAAAATTGCTTGTGGACGCTCTAGAGGCTAAAGTTGATATCTGATTGACTTTAAATTTATACACAGTGTTTAAAGTCATAAGAAGAAGAATCCTATTGATTTTCAGCGATTTCCGATAATTACTGCCAGAGTTATGGCCCTTGATCACTTCAAAAAATCTTGTTGATGCTTTGAGGCTGAAGTTAATATCTGATTGACTTTAAATTTATACACATTGTTTAAGGTCACGAGATGAAGAATCCTATTGATTTTCAACAATTTATGATAATTACTGCCAGAGTTATGGCCCTTGATCACTTTGAAAAATCTTGTGGACGCTCTAGAGGCTAAAGTTAATATCCAATGGACTTTCATTTAAATTTATACACAGTCCGTCTGTCTGTCACACTTTTTGGGAAACAATACCTCTTGAGCTAGAATGTTCAAACTTATGGTGTAGGTGTTTATTTATGGAGCCAAAACGTTGCCATATTAAGAGTAAATATAATAGTTAAAATTGACAAATTATCCTAGTTAAAATTGTAAAAATGGTCATTTTCAAGAATTTTCACTGGTAAATATCACATAACACAAAATCACTATATTAGTATCAAAACAAACCAAAAAAATCTAGTTATGTTTTTTTCACTTTCTACTTTTCGCCTTTGCAGATTCAATCAAACTTTTTCATCTTTGCATTTTCTACTATCAGAATTTTTCCATTGTAATTTCCACCACCAAAATTTCTCCAATCGAACGGACAGAGGGCATGGTTCTGGGTACAGTCGAAGTTGACGTCATAAGACGTCAGTATTTATCGTCTCGGCTAAAATTACTACTCCATTGGGTTATTGTACCCCGCCTTTCGAAGAAAGCAGGGGACTATTACAATGGGTTCGTCCGTCTGTCTGTCCGGCACACTTTTTGGGACACAATAACTCTCTTTCTAATTGAGCTAGAATGTTCAAACTTGGTGTAGGTGTTTATTAGGTTTATAACTCTTAAGAATTGTCTGATTTTATTTATTATTTTTGGGAGAAAAAATAAATTTGTTGTCATGTCGAACAACTTTTTGTTTAATAAGTTATATCATCGAACCTTGAGGTTGGCTCATTGTCTTAATAGACCGGATGAATCTTTGATAGCACATCGGCATGGATGTGAGTGAATTTCTGGCGTTATATCTGAAATAAGTGAAACTACAAAAGGGGTGTCTGGCTGCCTTAATCAATTAAGAAAAGCTTTACCGTTATTAGACGATGTAATAAATTGCAAACAAGACAATTAGGGCATGGTAGAGAGTATCATCTTTTGTCAGGAAGAGTTGATTCACCCAAGTTATTTATTCCACAAGAACAGTTACAATATTTAGTTGATAAAGATCTGTAATTTGTAGAAAATAAAAATAAAATATCCCCGAAAAGAGGTATGAATTATTGTTTCCCAGGGTCGGTTTCCAGAATATTTTAATTTACCTTTCCAATTGATCATGATTAGGTACGGTAGTTGTGATCGCAACACATGCAGTAGAGTCTACCTGTCCACTGTCAATATTAAAATCTAATGGATTATGTAGTTATCATAAAACATGACAGTAAAGACATAAATTATTTGTTCTTTTCACATAAACTGGGAGTTAAATATTGCGAAACTAGAAACAGAAGTTATATTAATCAAAATACAACTAGAAACAAAAGTTTATTAATTAAAGTATAAGGCGGGTCTAATTAGGCCTATATGTATCTCTCCGACAAGACTCAAGAATTAAAAAAAAAACAAAAAAAAACTCTATATTGACGGTCGGATGGTATCATGTTAGTAATAGTTATTGAATTTTAATCATTAGCATTTTATACTTTTGCAAAGCGGAATTTTTTAAAACATGTATCCGGTAGCCAGTATATGTAAGCCTAATAAGTTCTATGTCGTCTTCAATAAAAATACAGATGTGATGTCATCTTTTGATGTTGGCGTACTAGTACTTCAAATAAAGTCCACCTCTATGGTACCTACTATTAAACTATTACCTAAAAATAACATATTACGTTAAATATTGTTAATCACCAGGTGTTTTTATAAGTCAAAGTCCTGTAGGCCTACAGTGCAGTGGACGCTTGCAGCTGGCCCCGGATCCATTCACTTGATTTGATATGCTTATTGTTTGAAATATATGTGTAGCCTATTTTGTATGTCGTGTCCATGGGTTTGTATTGTGTAATTGTTTATGTGTGATGCCCTCCTCCCGCTCTTACTATTCTCTCAGCTAACCGAAGAACTCCAAATGCATCAGCCGCTTATATCAACATAGATTTATGACGTCGTGTGCCCATAGTCCCTATCAGGGAGCATTAATTTTAGGCCAGACAATAAAAACAAATGAGTTATGATGTCAGCTTGAACCGAACTCGGAAACACGCCCCTTTCCTTATATGGTCAGTTAGATTGGAGAAATTGTGATAGTCGAAAATGCAGTGCAGAAAATCTGATAGTTGAAAATGCAAAGATTAAAATTTACTGTGAATTTGCAAAGGCGAAAAGTTGATAGGGAAAAAACATAACTAGATTTTTACATTGTTACTTTTTGTCGAGCAATTTTGTTTTATGGTAAATATCCATTAAAATGTATTAAGTGTTATGTAATATTTACATGAGAAAAATCTCGAAAATGGCCATTTTTACCGTTTTGACTATGATAATTTTGCTATTTTAACGATATTTTCTCTTAATATGGCAACGATTCGGCTCCATATTTATTAGGTCAATGCCTTGATGGAGTTCGAAGATGAGCATTTTCTCCTTAGGTTAAGCAGAGATAAGCAATTTGATTGGTTGATGCTTTGGGACACGATAACTTTATTTCTAATTTAGTGAGAGTGAGGACACTTGGTGTATAGTGTTATCACATCAATACCTTGACTAAGTTCGATAATTAACACTTTCTGCTTAGGGTAAGCAGAGCGATAAGCAATTTGATTGGCTGAGACTTTGGAACACAGTAACTCTCCTTCAAATTGAGGTAGAATGTTCAAACTTGGTGTTGGCGTTCATTAGGTGAATCCCTTGATCTAGTTCAATGATAAACATTGTCTGCTTATGGTTAGCAGAGATAAGCTATCTGATTGATGCTTTGGGGCACAATAACTTTGGATATAATTAAGTGAGAGTGATAAACCTCCGAGTATAGATTCATTATATCATTACCTTGACTACGTTTGATGACGAGAATTTTTTGCTTAGGCTAATGAGCGATAAGCAGTTTGATTGGTCAAGATGGAGAGTGACGAAACTTAGTGTATAGTTTGATTGCTTGATACTTTTGAAAAAAATAAATGTGCGATTAATTAATTTGTGTCATCTATTTATTTTGGGATTTCGGCGGGGGACATCAGCCGCAATGTTGGTTTGTTTTATACACATTCTGACAAATGCTTAATTTTTATACGCCCACATTGAAATGTGGTCGTATATTGTTGTCGGTCCAGCGTCCACAATTGCTTGTTGACACTCTATAGGCTAAAGTTAATATCCTATTGACTTTATAATTTATATACAGTGTTTAAGGTCATGAGAATAAGAAGCCTATTGATTTTCAGCTATTTTCGATAATTACTGCCAGAGTTATGGCCCTTGATCACTTCAAAAAATCTTGTGGACGCGCTAGAGGTCAAAGTTTATATCCAATTAACTTTAAATTTATACACAGTGTTTAAGGTCATGAGACGAAGAAGCCTATTGATTTTCAGCGATTTCCGATAATTACTGCCAGAGTTATGGCCCTTGATCACTTCAAAAAATCTTGTGGACGCTCTAGCGGTCAAAGTTAATATCCAATTAACTTTAAATTTATACACAGTGTTTAAGGTCATGAGACGAAGAAGCCTATTGATTTTCAGCGATTTCTGATAATTACTGCCAGAGTTATAGCCCTTGATCACTTCAAAAAATCTTGTTGACGCTCTAGAGGTCAAAGTTAATATCCAATTAACTTTAAATTTATACACAGTGTTTAAGGCCATGAGACGAAGAAGCCTATTGATTTTCAACCATTTCCGATAATTACTGCCAGAGTTATGGCCCTTGATCACTTCAAAAAATCTTGTGGACACTCTAGAGGCTAAAGTTAATATCCGATTGACTTTAAATTTATACACAGTGTTTAAGGTCATGAGACAAAGAAGCCTATTCATTTTCAGCGATTTTCGATAATTACTGCCAGAGTTATGGCCCTTGATCACTTTGAAAACTCTTGTGGACGCTCTAGAAGCCTATTCATTTTCAGCGATTTTCGATAATTACTGCCAGAGTTATGGCCCTTGATCACTTCAAAAAATCTTGTGGACACTCTAGAGGCTAAAGTTAATATCCGATTGACTTTAAATTTATACACAGTGTTTAAGGTCATGAGACAAAGAAGCCTATTCATTTTCAGCGATTTTCGATAATTACTGCCAGAGTTATGGCCCTTGATCACTTTGAAAACTCTTGTGGACGCTCTAGAAGCCTATTCATTTTCAGCGATTTTCGATAATTACTGCCAGAGTTATGGCCCTTGATCACTTCAAAAAATCTTGTGGACACTCTAGAGGCTAAAGTTAATATCCGATTGATTTTAAATTTATACACAGTGTTTAAGGTCATGAGACAAAGAAGCCTATTCATTTTCAGCGATTTCCGATAATTACTGCCAGAGTTATGGCCCTTGATCACTTTGAAAAATCTTGTGGACTCTCTAGAGGCTAAAGTTAATAGCCGATTGACTTTAAATTGATACACAGTGTTTAAGGTCCTGAGACGAAGAATCCTATTGATTTTCAACGATTTCTGATAATTACTGCCAGAGTTATGGCCCTTGATCACTTTGAAAAATCTTGTGGACGCTCTAGCGGCTAAAGTTAATATCTGATTGATTTTAAATTTACACACAGTGTTTAAGGTCATGAGACGAAGAAGTCTATTTTCGGCAATTTTCGATACTTACTGCCAGAGTTATGGCCCTTGATCACTTTGAAAAATCTTGTGGACTCTCTAGAAGCTAAAGTTATCATCCGATTGACTTCAGATTGATACACAGTGTTTGAGGTCATGAGACGAAGAATCGTATTGATTTTCAACGATTTCCGATAATTACTGCCAAAGTTATGGCCCTTGATCACTTGTGATCTTGTGACGCTCTAGAAGCTAAAGTTATTATCCGATTGAAATGTGGTCGTATATTGTTGTCGCCCCCGTCCGTCCGTCCGTCCACAATTTGTTTGTGGACACTCTACAGGTCACAATTCTTACCCGATTTTGACGAAACTTGAAATATAGGTTTATCTCCAAAAGATCTCGGCTGCTTTCGATATTGGCATGTATCGAATCGAAACTTCATGGATTATTGCCCCTGTTTGTACGAAAAATCACGTTTTAGCTTGTGGACCCTATAGAGGTCACAATTTTTATCCGATTTTGTTGAAATGGAAGTTTATAACCGAAAGATCTCGGTTCCTTTCGATATTCGCGTAACATCCTGAATTATGGCGTTTATAGATTGTCAACCCTATAGAGGTCATAATTTTTATCCGATTTAAAAAAAAACGTATTATTATATCACCGTTACACCCTAAGGACGACTGAGTTAGAATTTCGTGAAAATCGGCCCAAAATTGACAGACAATATTTCCGCCGTTCGTTCTCAAATAGCGTAACAAATATGGTATATCAAGGTTGTGGACCCAATAGAGGTCACAATTTTTATCTGATTTTGTTGAAACTTGAAATGTAAGTTTATAATCCAAAGATCTCGGTACCTTTCGATATTCGCGCATATCGGACCTTAACTTCCTGAATTATGGCCCCTGATTGTACGAAAAATCGCGTTTTTAGCTTGTGGACCCTATAGAGGTCATAATTTTTATCCGATTTAAAAAAACGTATTATTATATCACCGTTACACCCAAAGGACAGCTGAGTTCGAATTTTGTGAAAATAGGCCCAAAACTGACAGACAAAATGGCCGCCGTTCGTTCTCAAATAGGGTAAAAATATGGTATATCAAGGTTGTGGACCCTATAGAGGTCACAATTTTTATCCGATTTTGTTGAAACTTAAAATGTAAGTTTATAACCCAAAGATCTCAGTTCCTGTCGATATTCGCGCATATCGGACCGTAACTTCCTGAATTATGGCCCCTGATTTTATGAAAAATCGCGTTTTTAGCTTGTTGACTTTATAGAGGTCATGATTTTTATCCGATTTAAAAAAAACGTATTATTATATCACCGTTACACCCTAAGGACGGCTGAGTTCGAATTTCGTGAAAATCGGCCCAAAACTGACAGACAAAATGGCCACCCTTCGTTCTCAAATAGCCTAAAAATATGATATATCAAAGGTTGTGGACCCTATAGAGGTCACAATTTTTATCCAATTTGTTGAAACTTGAATTGAAGTTTATAACACAAAGATCTCAGTTCCTTTCGATATTTGTGCATATCGAATTGTAATTTCCTGCCTGGCAGCCACTGGTTATTACATGTAATCTATATTGATACAACTATGTTGGTCAAACGTACATGTATGTTCTATTTTTATACGCCCACATTGAAATGTGGTCGTATATTGTTGTCTCCCCCGTCCGTCCGTCCGTCCGGCGTCCACAATTGCTTGTGGACGCTTTATAGGCTAAAGTTAATATCCGATTGACTTTAAATTTATACACAGTGTTTAAGATCATGAGACGAAGAATCCTATTGATTTTCAGCGATTTTCGATAATTACTGCCAGAGTTATGGTCCTTGATCACTTCAAAAAATCTTGTGGACGCTCTACAAGTCAAAGTTAATATTCGATTGACATTAAATTTATACACAGTGTTTAAGTTCATAAGACCAAGAATCCTGTTGATTTTCAGCGATTTCCGAAAAAATTTGCCAGAGTAATGACCCTTGATCACTTTGAAAAATCTTGTGGACGCTCTAGAGGCTAAAGTTAATATCCAATTGACTTTAAATTTATACACAGTGTTCAGGTCATGAGACGAAGAAGTCTATTGATTTTCAGCGATTTCCGATAATTACTGCCAGAGTTAATACAGTGTTTAAGGTCATGAGACGAAGAATCCTATTGATTTTCAGCGATTTCCGATAATTACTACCAGAGTTATGGCCCTTGATCACTTTAAAAAATCTTGTGACGCTCTAGAGGCTAAAGTTAATATCCGATTGACTTCAGATTTATACACAGAGTTTAAGGTCTTGAGACGAACAAGTATATTGATTTTCAATGAATTTTTATGAGTTTCGTATACTAAACATTAGCATGGGGCAGAACTTCATAAAAACCAAACAAATTCTAATGGTTTTGATAATTACTTAATGAGTTGTTACTCTTAATCAGATTTTAATGTATTATAAATGTTCCATTACCGAAAAAAGTAAAAATATGCGACAACTCTTGTTGACTGCCCGGACGATTTAGCTGCTGTGGGCGTATACTTCGTTGCCTGGCAACCTATCTTTTTCACTATACAAGAATGGCTGCGCATTCACTTTCAGTGCAATTGAACTCATTTGACCCCGAATATCTCGGCATCGTATTCTACGCAAATTTTTACTTTAGAAAAGTTCTTATCATGGACATTGTGCTTTTATTTTCTGCCGTATAAAAGAAGACAGATAATTTTTGGAGGCGTGAATTTGAAGCAGGTATGGGTCGGTAATAATATAAGCTTTCATTCTATCGTATTATGAAAACATGTAATTTGGTGTGAATACTACTGACATATATTTGAATACCATACAGGAATTAAATTTGAAAAATAGGGAGGTGCACCTATTTTTATGCGTCCATATGTCTGTATGGATGCCGTCCGCAATTTGTGGACACACTACAGGTCACAATTTTGATCCAATTTTGATGGAACTTAAAATATATGTTTATATCCCAAAGATCTCGGTTCCTTTCGATATTCATGCATATCGGTATGTAAAACCCTGGATTATGGCTCCTGATTGTTTGAAAATTCGCGTTTTTAGATTGTGGACAAAAAAAACATCCGTATATATCACCGTTACACCATAATGACGATTGAGTTTGAATTTCGTGAAAATCGGACCAAACTGCCATACAAAAGGGGGAACTTGAGACAAAGCTGCTGTGTGGGCGTATTCCATGCTTTACGTGGCTATCTTCATAAAACCATTGAAACGAGAAGCTTGTTTGGGAATAGAAGTGGAATGATCAAATTGGTGTTCCCTACTTCGTTTATGGATGGATAGCATTCATCCAGTGTAATATATTTTGATAGATGAACAAGAAAATAATTTGAAAAATGCAGAGAAAAAACAAAAAAATGCCACAGATAAAGTTAAAGAATTGGAAAATAAATTAAAGAATGCTAAGTCAGTCAGAGAAAAAGAATTAAAACAAGCAGAAGATACTCTAAACAAAGCTAAAAAAAATATGGAAGAATCAGCCAAGAAAATGAAAGAAAAATTACAGGTAATAAATGATTGTTGGAGGGAGGGTGTGTGTGTGCCTTTCTAGCATTTTGTCCATTGTCTGTCCCGAGGCCACAATGTTTGTTTGATTCAGATGAACAGGTCTTGGATGAATTTGAATTTTATACGCCCACATTTTCATGTGAACGTATTATGTCGTCGCCCCTGTTGGTCCATCCGCCCGTTAACAATTTGTTTGTGGACAATCTACAGGTCACAATTTTTATCCGATTTCAACGAAACTTGAAATATAGGTTTATCTCCTTAAGATTTCGGTTCCTTTCGATAGTGGCATGTATCGGACCGTAACTTCATGAATTATGGCCCCTGATTGTACGAAAAATCGCGTTTTTAGCTTGTGGACCCTATACAGGTCGCAATTTAAATCTGATTTCAACGAAACTTAAAATAGGTTTATCTCCCTAAGATTTCGGTTCCTATCGATAGTGGCATGTATCGGATCGTAACTTCATGAATTATGGGCCCTGATTGTACGAAAAATCGCGTTTTTAGCTTGTGGACAATCTAGAGGTCACAATTTTGATCCAATTTTGATGAAACTTGAAATGCATGTTTATAACCCAAAGATCTTAGTTCGTTTGATATTCGCGCATATTGGATTGTAACTTCCTGGATTATGGCCCCTGATTGGTCGAAAAATCGCATTTTTAGCTTGTGGATTCTCTAGAGGTCACAGGTTTTTTTTCGATTTTAAAAACCGTTTTGATCACCATTCCAACATAATGAAGGTTGAATTGGATTTTTTGGAAAATCAAAATGAAACTGCCCGACAAAATGGCCGCTCTTTGTATGCAAATTGTATATAAGTATGTAATTCAAAGATTATAGACCTTTTAGAGGTCACAATTTTTATCCAATTTTGATGAAACTTAAAATATATCTTTATGTTCCAAAAATCTCAGTCCCTTTTGATATTTGTGCATTTCAGACCATAACTTTCTGGATTATGGCCCCTGATTGTACAAAAAATCGTTTTTATATGCCCACATTGAAATGTGGTCTTATATTGTCGTCTTCCGTCCGTCTGTCCGTCGGTCCAGCGTCCACAATTGCTTGTGGATGCTCTAGAGCCTAAAGTCACGTGGAGGAAGTGTAGCACTTATATTTAAGTCATCTATTAATAGAAGAAAATCTGTCATGAACGTTTTGATTCTTTTGAAATTTTGGATTGTTCTCTACAGTTTTCTTTCAAGGAAACTAGAGTTATTACAATTATAGCAAATTGTGTCAAAAGTTTATGGAAGAATTTGGATTATTTCTGGACCAGTTAATGATGACTAAGTGTTGCACTATTATTTGGGGGGATTTTAATTTTCATGTTGATGATTCCAACGACTCTACCGCGGTAGATTTTTGTGATATTCTGAATAATAGATCTCTCACACAACATGTTTCTTCTTCGACTCATAACGGTGGACATATTCTCGATTTCCTGGCAACTTTTAATCTTATGATCCAGAAACCACAACCAACAAGAAAGATTGTAACATATCAAAGGTTTAAATCACTCGACACTAATAAATTTAAATCGGAAATAGTGAACTCGAATTTCAATGGCATTCAACGTTTTCAAGATATACAAGAGAAGGCAACCCAATATCACTCAAAGCTTGCTGAAATTTTGGACTCGCTTGTTCCTCTTCAAACGAAAACATTTACTACTCGTCCCAATACGCAGTGGTTTAATGATTCTATTTTAGAAGCCAAAAGGGACCGTAATAAGGCTGAACATCTGTGGCGGAAAACAAATCTACATGTCCATAAACAGATTTATAAATCTTTAAAAAACAATGTGAATAAATTAATTGAAGACGCTAAAATTAAATTTTACTCTGATAAAATAGAAAATGACGAAAACAGAAAAAAAGACCGGTATAAAGTTGTGAATTCCCTTTTGGACCATAATGCTGAGCGTACTATTCTCCCGGACAATGATAATGACACTGAACTTGCAAATTTATTCTCTGATTTCTTTCAAACAAAAATATAGAAAATACAAACTGAACTTGATGATTTAAATAAAACTATTAACTTTAACGCTCATGATTTTGATAAGTTAGAAAATTCTGTTTATTTAGAAAATTTTAACTTGGTTAGTGAATCTTTTGTTTTAAAGCTAATTAAATCGTCTGCTCCTAAATCTTGTTCTTTAGATCCTGTTCCGACTTCTGTTCTTAAGGACTGTCTAAATGAAGTTATTCCAGTTTTTACCAATATTATTAATTCTTGTATATCATCCTCTACTATTCCCAACATTTTCAAACAAGCACAACCTTATGTTACCCCTTTAATTAGAAAGTCAACACTGGATCCTAATGTTTTTTCCAACCTTGTGGGTTTTCTCTGGGTCCTCCGGTTTCCTCCCACTGCTAAAGACCCCTATGCGCAAGTGAATTATTGAAATAAAATTAAACCATATGTTAGTCCCGAAATGACCTAGTTTGTGTCGAGTGGACGTTAAACCCCATTTCTCTCTCTCTCCCCCTAATGTTTTTAAAAATTACAGGCCTGTCTCTAACTGAAGTTTTATTTCTAAAATATTGGCGAAATGTATACTCAGATAAAGGCCCATCTAGATCATAACTGTTTGTATGAACCATTTCAAAGTGCTTATAAACAATTTCACAGTACCGAACAGCTTTAAACCGGGTTTCAAATGATATTTTAATGGAAATTGATAATAGAAAATGTACATTTTTAATTTTATTAGATTTATCTGCTGCTTTCGACTCGGTGGACCCTTCCATTCTTCTACGTAGACTTCAATTTAAATTCGGTATTTGTGGTTCTGCATTAAATTTTTTAGAAAGCTATCTTGTGGTTAGAAAACAGTGTATTTTAGTTAATTGCAAATCATTGTCTGAATCTGTTTTGTCATCTGAGGTTCCCCACAGTGTATAAAATTCGTCAAGAAAAGTTGTAGGCCAATAGGACTCGCTGGTAGACGCCATTCATGAAAGTTGTAGGTCCTAACATTAAGTTGTGGGCCCAATAAATATTAACAAAACACACGTACACTACCCCATCCCAAATGCTTTTATTTCTAAGTTCTAGCCATTTGGGACAGGTTTAAAAGTTAAAATATGTATTCAATATTGATTGGCTGTACACATTACAATTTTAACTTTTGAAGGATTTAATGTTAATACTTCGTGTATAGAAAGATAACAATCATTCCACCCCTATTTTACCCAGACTTGATATTTATTTTTTATGTCTTACATTTCAATAAACATGTTAAATTTACTGTCCGGTAGCAACAATCATTTTATTTGTTTTCATTCATCATGACGTGTGGAACTGTGAAATAAAAGACCGTGACCTCTTTCAAAATGAAAGTAAACTATCACTGCTGTTTGGCAGACCACACATCATTTTTTATCATTATTAAACTGACCTGATGTCACACGTTGGGATAGTCCATATTTATGAAACCATAAACTCTTTGTTATTCTTTCTATATATGACATTGTACGTGCCTGTTTTCGAAGACTTGGGTCTCCATTACGGTAGTGAAATCATCATTAAAGAAATAGACTTGATAATCAAGTCTGCTAGTAAATCACGAGATTTAGAAAGAATGGCGGGAAAGGCCACTCGTTTTTACCTCACTGGAATTGTATTGTTACTAGTAGTTAGGCTTTCAGGGAATTTTCAGCTCTGCTTTTTCAATTTCTTTTTACAAGACAAAGAATTTATATCATGTGAATTTTTATTCTTGGATTCATGACAGTACAGTAGATGGACTGACCTAGTTTAGTAGCACAGTTTGGATTTCACAATTGAAGGAATATAATATGCCGGATTATGCATGTGTATTCAATATCGGATAAAGATAAAGTAAGGCATACTATCGCAACACACACTCATCTATTTCACTGGTTAAACTGGTTAAATAATATTCTGCCGAACTCTGGGAGCGTGTTGATATTTGCAAGCACAACCTCACTCCTACAACGATTTCTTTCGGTGGACAATTTTATTTTCATTTCCGATAATGAAATACAGTTAAATATCTGGATGAAATATATTACAGATATAAATAGGGACAATATAAATATTTTCAAAGGAAAATTTGATAGAACCATGAACAAAATATCCATGACACATATTTTCCCGACAAAAACCGTCGGCTCACAGGGCCGACCCACCATCTTCAAAATAAAAAGATGTCGGCCCGCCAAGTTATTTATCGGCGTTGGGCCGACGGTCCGACCAAATTTTAAACACTGGGTCCCCAAGGTTCTGTTCTTGGTCCGATTTTATTTACCCTCTATACGTCACCATTAGGTGATATTGTCAGAAAATATGGTCTCAGCTTTCATTTGTATGCCGATGATACTCAAGTATATATTTCATTTACACCTAACTGTCCATCTTCTTTCAATTTATCAAAATTGCAACTTGCGAACTGTATTAGTGAAATTAGAAAATGGATGTTAAAGAACTTTCTAAAATTGAATGATGATAAAACCGAATATTTGTTATTAGGCTCAAGGCATCAATTAAGTAAATTTGCACATGATAACCCCCCTGTTGTAATTGGTAATTGTGATATATTTTCATCTTATTCTGCTCGTAATATTGGCGCAATCTTTGATAATATTTGTAAATTGTGCTATTTTAATATCAGAAATATAGGTAAAATATGTAAATGTGTAACTGAAGAGGCCACTAAGTCACTTGTTAATTCTCTGGTCACTTCTCGATTAGATAACTTTAATTCACTTTTAGTTGGTTTACCTTTAAAGCTTATAGATAAATCACAAAAAGTACAGAATACTGCGGCCTGACTTGTTACTTTAACTAAGAAATGTGACCACATAACTCCTGTTTTATATAATTTACACTGGTTACCTGTTAAATATCAAATTGATTTTATAATTTTATTACTTACTTTTTAATGTTTAAATAATTTAGCTCCTGTTTACCTTTCAGATCTTTTAGAACTTTATACACCTGGCCGAACATTAAGTACAT